CAGACACAGAGGGACCAGCAGCTGCTACAAACTACAGATGTTAACTCAAGATAAAGCTCTGCTACTCCAGGAGAGAAACACGGGGTCTCCAACATAACCTCTCTGCTTATACGTGTTCAGCTACATGGTGACAACATGCAACATCCGGATTACAAAGCTATACAACGAGCAGAGCTTTGAACCATGGTGACTTTTTTTTCCTTCCGAAGTTCCTTCCTTTTTTAATTCAAGCCTTACATCTACATCCGACCTCCCAAAGGAGACTGTTTTGTTTTGTTACAGCACCTCTTTTTTTTTCCAGAACAGAGAATAATAAAAGATTATTGCACAACCAAATAACACAGGAACGGTCCCTTTTCCCTAACTATCAACACATTGCCAGTTGGCAAGCATATCCTTGTCATTAGCAAAGGGAAGAAATCCTTGTGTTTAGACTTGTGAATTACAGAACACGCTTGGGACTTTCTAAAGGGGTAAAAGCGCATGTCCTGTGGTTTGTATGTCACCACATACAGCTGTCATCATCTCACATTGTTATCTCCAAAATCCCCATACAGTGCGACAATGAACTTCAAAAGTGTGGGTCGGGAAACTTCACACATGTGCTCCTATCAACTCCCTATTACTGGCACCAAGCCTTGAAATATTCCCAGGCACAGATTACAGTAACTCTCCTAAGATGTCAGATTTCCTTAAGGAGGATAGCTCGCACTAATCCCCGGGCGTTGTTCCACTGCAGTAGAACTGTATTTCTAAGAACTCAACGACCTTTGAACCTAATTTGAAAACAACTGCTACCGGGCAAATTTTTCGCATGGGGGTCTCCATGCATACAGTATGTCTCCATATGGCGCATTCTGTGGTCAAAAACGTCAACACCATCAAACACTGACAGCCATTACAATAAGAAAACCAAAGCACAACAGAGCAGAAGCCCAAGCATAAAACATGAAGTACATTTACTCTATACAAATGTGCAATACCACATTGGACACACTGGATGCTTCAGGGGTCCCCTGTTGCCTTTACTTGGTCTCTAGTGACTAGCTATAAAAATAGCTGAGTGTCCATTCCACATATCTCTCTATTCCTGATGTTTAAATACAAGTTTAGGGGGTTCTAGGTTTTCATCTTTTATAAGGATAAAAAGCTAGTGACGAAAGCTGACATGGTGGTACATTGAGTTGGGTTACAAATGGGAGTTCATGGTTATTTTTGGTCTGTCAAACACTACAGAATTAGTTCCAGGCTTCGGTCCTAAAAATGGTCAAGCTCCAAGTCTGCATGTAGGTCATTGCCATGACTACAAGTCACTTGTTTTGTTTTCACACATTTCAATACCCCCCCCCCGAGTTCAGTCTTTAGTTAATAGAATAAAAAAATTAATTTTTGTACTGTGTTATTAATACATCATGACAATCATTTTCTTCCTTACACAAAAAGTATGGGTATTATATAATGTCCTTGCATGAAGGGACATGCCACAGAGTGCTAAAAAAAACATTGCAATGAAAAACAAACAATTGGTTAAAAATAATGAGCTAATCCTTCCTCTTCAGACACACTTGAAGCCATGTCCCCTCATCACTATGCCTTCCAAAATATGTTGCTACAACGTGAGGAAAATTTGGAGCATCCCCAATCAAGATGTCCAAATATTTTGAAACTCTTCTCTGTTTACCTTACATGAACTCCAGTACGGCACAGTTGCAAGCCTTCCTGTAAATTGCAGTTGAATTTTTTTATTTACATTCAGAAACTGTTATTAGGGTACCAGAAGCCATAGGAACTTTAAAAGCCACATATGGACACCATCTAATGAGCTCCAGGAATAGTTATACCCCCCTCCCCTGCCCACATTTGTTGACCTGTTTTAATTGTGTGGATCACACCCCTATCACAACATTTGTTTTCACCACCAGGGTGACCACCCCTCATTCCTGCTAATTAACGAAATTCATGAAAGACAAAAGGAGGGTGAAAAGATAAAAGCCTCGTCAATTATACCCTTCAAACTAAATCTACACACTGGATATTGTTTGACAAATTCCTATAGTATATAAAAGGACCAGACTATCTTCTAAATCTCCCTGAATCATACTTAAACCTTCCCTCAAGCTGTTTCGTCATTCCAGACTAAAAATTAAGAGGAATTTTCTAATCACATCCTTTTAAAAGATTGCCTATCTCGTGTACAGACTTCAGGGAGTTGAGGGTGACTTCAAAAGACTTTGTAAAGTGCATTCTCTTTGTTTCAAAGTGCTTCCCTTATGATACATTCAAAGAACTTTTAATGACACTGGGTTCATTGGAACATCCCCCTTGCACATGCTTTCCAAACTGAAGAAATCTGGCGACTATAACAAGAGCCCGATCAAAGAAATACACGAAATAAAGCACATATGGCCTGGCTGTGGTCTAATGGCACTTCCAGTGCCCCCAGGAGTCCTAGGCTACAAAAAAACTTCCAACCCTTTGTCATGCAAGTGAGTCTCATGCTCCGAGCTATGAAGTCTGCCTCTGATAAGAGTTGGAGCTTAACCATTGCTGGCAGCAAGAGAAAAACCACAATGCAAAGTATGAGATGTGGGGTACGATAAGTTTTTCGGGATATTTTCCAGCTGTGACAAGAATAGGTCGGTAGGACATGCTTCCATATTTTCACACCTGGATTTCATGATTATCAACAATGGTGCAAAAGCAGCTTACCACAAATGTCCTTTTACCAGGCTTGTGACAAAAGAGTACAATAGAAGAAAAAATTCAAGCCAAAAGATAGGATTTTTGAGATTAAATTTTGTCTTTGTCTGGAAACATTGGCTAAAAACCCTCCCCATGGTTTAGAATTGAAGTAACGGTTCACACCTGCTGCTATAATCATAACATTTTAACGCCCTAGCCCCATTTCTAACAACTTCGCAGATTCCATTTTCGAGCTTCCGAGTCACGAAAGCTTCGATCCAGGGCGACCGCGGCATTCAGTCGCATTCCTGCGACAACATGCTATGACCTGGTATGTTACGTCCAAATATTTCTATCATGGCTGTACCTTTTTGGCTCAAATTGGCCAAGTATCAACCGTACTCTGGTCTGGCCGCGTGACTACCATGGAATGTCCCTCAAGTGCTGGCACAAGGCCATCTTTAGCATTACAGGCTCAACCCCACAGATTTTAAGTACAGGATACTGAGTGGTAACTTTAATTTGGAGCCCAGTACAACTTCTCCTAAGTGAACCTCCCATCTCTTACCCCATCCACTTATCTAAATGAAACTTTTGTTTCGCCTAATGAGATTTACAGCCCTGATCAACAGGTATCGTTGGTTCTTACAACCTCTGTCAATCAGGGCGGATGGAGGGCAACAATTTTCATTACAGAACTCATCTGTTTCATCAACAATTCTTAGCGTGTTGCCTGGGCATACCTGTAATTTGAGCAACTCTAAATCATTTCCTCCGACACTTAGATTACAGGGTTGTCCCTTGCTCACCCTCCCAAATTGCCATAGGTGTAAAAGCACCTCTTTTGTACCTTTCCATTCAGGAACAGCTTAATTTCCTAATACACATAAGCAGTGCATATGAATGGCAAATGTTGGACAAGCTCGTTTTTGTTATCTCGGTCACAGATCTGACTGATCTTTCCTCCTGGTTATTCAGGTTATATAGGGCATCCCGAGAAGTTTGGTATACAAGCCAGGCGGTACCAACGCAAATAATAGGCCCCGATTTAACGCTGGGATTATTTGGGGGGAGGGATGAACCTTTAATCACTGCAGAAGGCACAATTCCAGTTAGAGTTGTGTTGTGGGGTGTCTCCATGTGTCAGTTTGGCAGACTGGGCAGTTAGAAGGTGGAAGCACCAGTCATGCACACGCCAAAACACAAATATTTTTACCACCTCTCTGGACTGAATGGGGGGAAACTCAATACACCATACACAAGCAGACTTCTTTCAGCTGAAGCCCTCTCCACATTGGCAGACTGGCTCCAGTTGCCCCCACACACAACAGGACAGTTTGCCCCCTCCTTTTAACCAAATCCCCTGTCAAATTAATCCCGCTCTGTGGATGGTTCATTCAGAAGGTTGGGGTCTTAGGCTGGGCCGACTGGTCTTGTTTTGAAGCTAAACAAAAGCATACTCCTCCCTGCACAAACTTGGGTTTCTTTCTCCTCAGGGTCCCGAGTTCTGATGCTATGGAGTCGGGTTACACCATGGGGGTAGCCAAGCCGGGCAGGGGAACACGTTCTAGACCACCCGGGACTACTAGTCTAGCTAGCCGGGGATAGCCCTCGCTGTATCTCAACTGTGATCTCCAAACTCTCCTTTGCTTATCTCTTCAACTGCTGAGTTTAGAAAGCTACAACTAGGCTAATTAGGTGGACTTTGATTCGGTAGATTTTCGGGCTCGAGGGTGTGAGGACCGGGGTGACCTGGGGTCGGCCTTGCCCACTTCTTTCTTCCTCCGGACCACATTCCGTTTTATTGATTTTACAAAGCCTTTCTGTGTTGGGTCTTGTTATGCTATACCGTCTGTCCCACCTCTGACAAGAAAGGAGAAACACAGGAGGCGTGGGGAGGGGGGCAGCCTGTCTCGAAAACCTCTCGAATCTCAAGTTTTACTTTGACACCCCCTTCAATCACGTGAAAAATAGAAATGTTTACACTCTAGCTCTTTCACACATCAACACCCACCAAAGCACAAAGTCAAACTCTCGCCTAGATCAACGTTTCCGAGCAAATCCGGCTGATATTTCTCTCCACAAATCCTGTTAAAAGTTTCCAAGGCGAGGACAACAGACAAAAAGAAGGGGTGGCATGGAGGGTTCTTCAAGACATACTGTGTTCACTCCCGTAAAATCTAAGAAGTGAAGCAAAAGCACCTCCAGAAAAGTTGCTCATGGGGAGAATTTTCCTACGTATCTCGGATTTCGTGCGTGTCTTATTGTTTGTATTATTAAAGACGTTAGATAAGAAAAGGTGTGTTTGTGAAACTGACCTTTCACGGCGGACTCTGCGTGGATGAGGTTATCCAGGGTGACTCGGATCAGGCTGGATGTCAGCTCGAACTCGTCCGGAGGGCCCGCCGGCTTCTTGTCCAAGAGAAAGATCCGCGTGTCGCCCTGGTCCACCTCGTTGTCGCAGATGTGGGGATCCCCGAAGCCGCCCACCATGACTTCCGCGACGCCCCTGCTCGGGTCCCGGAGCGGCTGGACTCGGTTGGCGGTGGGGATCTCGTTCGTTCCTTTCATAACCCTCCAGACTCGGACTTTCGCTTTGTACTTCCCGTCGGGGTAGCCGTTCATCTTCTGCTCGACCGTGCCGGTGACGATGGCGGTGGCCCGTCGCACGCGCTTCATCAGGTTGTCTTCATGGCACTGCCGGTTCGACCGCAGCGGAGCGTCCCCGTCCAGTCCCTCGGCCCCCCTGGCCAAGAAGGCCGCTAGCAGCACAGCTGACAACCCGAGCAAACCCCGATACATTTTGAAACAATCCGAACAAATTACACAAACAGAAGTTTTCTCTGAAAAAATTATAAGAACCTAGGAAAAACCCTGTCCCTTCCTCGACTTGTTTGCAGAACTTGGTCCAGGTTTTCTTGGTCCCTTGATTGATCCGGTCCGTCAAATGGGAATCGAACCAGAAACCTCACGTTCGGCCAGTGCACTAGTGGAGGTCCCGCCAACTGTTACACTGTACAGCCAGATTTTAAACGCTCCCCTCCGATACTAGCGCCAGGCAGATTGAGTCCGATACGCCGAGATTTAGATCCGAAGCATGCAGACGTTTCTGCCTGGCGAAAACAAAGGTAGAATCAGGAATTCACCTCCACCTACTTGAGTGTACACATGCACCTCCTGGTCGCCAGGCTAAATGAAATGTGCAAGAATGAAATCGAGTGGGGAGCGGGCTAAGGAATCTGCGGGGGTCGCTATAGTTTAATCTCTCCCCAGAGAGCTTTCTTTAGCTATACACAGCCCCAAACTCCGAAACAGCAACTACATTGAGTTTCTGTAAAATCAGATATAATTTTTGTCCACAAATGATAAGTTTGTGGCGTTTTATATCAAAAATAATTAATTGAATCAAAGCGCCTCCCCGAGCCGTATTGGTAGCTTCCGGTCGTTGATTGGCCGGGCTCATGTGTATTTGTAAATACTGCCATTCAAGTTGGTGTGAAAGCCGCCTGTACTAGAGCTGATAAATCAGCTTCTTCATTTCCAATTAAATCGGATGGGATGATTACCCCTACTGAAGATGCTTTGATTTGCATTGCAATGGATTGTGCGTGGGTCTTGAGGGGGAACGGGGACAACACGAGGGTTTCCGGACTGAGCAAAGAAGACAACACTGGGAGCAGGCCACACACTGCAAGAACTAACGCGTCACACGCGTGTCCTGCTATACACCCCAATTCCGTAAGATGGGGTTGTAACATTAAGGGATTCAGTCGACTTCTTGAAGCAAGAGAAATACACACACGGTAGTTACTACCACCATAAAACGTATTGATTTATTATAGATATGAGTATAGTTTGGTTGATATTTAGAAAATCGGGACATTTGTTCAAGTTTGAAAAGGACCCCCTTGGATTTGGAATTTTTATCAACCCGGTAAGAGTTTGCCATGCTTGGATGCCAAAAAATAACGTCATTGCTTTTAGCAAGGACATCCTTGCTTTTAGCTTTGGCATCATTAGGTACTCGATTTGTGTGTGCACATTTGTGTTAGCCTTAGAGCAATAACTTTAATCACCTTTAAAGCGTGTGTGGTTATGTATATGCGGTTTTGTGTGTGCACGAGCCAAGCATTTTTTGCCTTAAAGCAATCAATTTGCCAATGTCACTGTTTCGTAGAGTGTGTGGGTTTGTATACGGTTTTGCGTTGGACAGTGAACAGCATAGTTCAAGAATATTAACTAACATTATATCTGATGCATTCCTTACCCGAGATACAGAAATCTGAAACCATTACAATGTAACATTAACATATGTCATCAACAACAGAACATCTTAAGGTTTAAATTTCTTTTATTGCGAGCAACCAAAAAAATCACACATTGTGGCCATGGATAAACTGATACAACGTGGCACGCACAGACATAGACACGGTAAGTTTTATGGATGTATTCCAAACTATATCTATCATGCCAGTATCATATTTCATCATCACCATCACACCTACCTGGCTGTTGATGAGTAGTACACCTTCCCCACCTTTTATCGATGAAATCATTCCTCATAAACCTCTAATATTGTATGATAATAGACACGAGATTGTTCTAAATTACATGACCGTAACCTTTCAAGCCCTGATATATATACGAGTATTTTTATTTTTATCTGGTATACATATACAACATGTACCCTTATCCAAATTAAAAACCCATTGAAGTTAGATTTTGACTATGATAAATCAATATTGTATACTTAATATATGCAAATAATTATAATACGTTCATAATATGGGGAGGGGAATGAGAAAAGATGCTGTCTCCTCTAAAAATTGGCACAGTTGCGAAATTTTGTCAGAACCTTGCGCACTTCAGCGTTGTGTCATAATACGGAGCTAAAGGGCCAAAAAAGAAAGGAAAGGTTTGACACACTTTGATAGGCCATATTCTTCTTCATCCTGATCTGCATATACATGGTGTCCATGCATTTACACAATGGAAAGGCGGGGAGGGTGAAGTTCAAGAGGAATTAGTTTTAATCTTTCACATGAAAAGCGAATGACTTAAAAACTAGCACAAACAGTCTACATACTGCTTCATAATCACACAATTACATGACTTTCCATCCAGGGCACATCTACTAAGCACAATACATCTAAAGAAATTTTACAGCTGCTGATAAAAGCACACTGTATTTGTGGTGATCATTCCTTGCCGCATGTCACTTATTTTTTCTCAAAAAATTGAGGCGAAATCACATTTTCTTGGCGACAATTTTGTGCAAGCGTCAAAACAGCCTCCCTAACCAAGAGCTCTTGGACCCGAAACAGGCTTTCAGGAGGGCTGCTATGGTGGGGGTGGGAGTCATAAGCCTCGCCTGCCTTCTGTTTCAGTGTACTAACACTGTCTTCGAACAGTTGGTCGGCTCTAGCCTTGGTGAAGTTGAGCTGACGGACGATGTCGGCCCACCGCCCTGCCTCCATGGTTCGGATGAACAGGTCAGCTGCTTCTGTGAATTTAACGAAAACGCGATGGTTGTTAGGCTGTACTTTGACGCACAATTGGTAGAGGGAGCTTGACGATCTATGATTAGAGGGAAAAATAAAGTTGTCATATATTGACATAAGAAAAGACACAGTAAGACTTAGAGTACTAGTGCGCAAAGTTGCAATATATGTTAATTATTTTACTAGTCACCATTTAAATGTACAAATCATTATATGATAGAAATATGCGAGTACAGGTATTTATTACCAATGTGTGTGTATAACCACTACGTATGATTCACTGATATGAAATATCAACAATCACTCTTGTGTGTCGTGGGCAGCTTCGCTTTACTGATCGATTGATTTAGTTAATTGCGTGTTTGTTTGCATGTTTATTTATCTGTACGCCTGGCTTACCTTCACAAAAATTCTTCCTGTAGGCTTCAGTCATACGAGCAAAGTAGTCTTTGTCGTCTTCATCGCCATGACTGTCATCTGGGTCAGTCACCAACTGTTCAGCAGTATGTTGGTCTTGTTCCTGATCAAGAAAAGATGTATATTCGAATTCTGGAATTCTGAAGGGTTGATAGAAAAACAACTGGCATAACTGGCACAAATCCGAACAGCAAACAGCATTCTACGATTTGCACAACCTCATCAGATAGTAAGACGGTGTTTACGTGAATGTATTTCAGCACCAAGGACAGGTATCACAATCGACTTAAACATCATTAATAATCAGCTATGGCGGAAAGGAGAGAGAATATGACAACCATCTTGATACAACCATCTTGCTCACCTGGCAACTCTTGCTTTCCTGTGGTTGAATTTTCAGTTGACGCGAAGATTGACCCGAAGTAAAGACGGCTTCATTTTCTGGGCGCCACACGTCAACAACCCTACATCCGTCAGTAAGGGAGTTCCTCCAAATTTGTTGCCTCTTACCTCTGATGTAGCTGAATTTTTCAGACTCTTCATCAAACCAACCTTCTGTTTTCCCCACGATCAGCACTTGTATTGGGCCGGCGTGAAAATGTTGTTCCCCTCGACCGTTTCTCTTGTCGGGGTGGCCAACAACACTTACGGTCGCAGCGTCTTCTTTCAGAAGTTGTTGAATGAGGGAGTCCCATCGAGATTGTTTATTTTCTGCGCCATGGCGGACATGGAAGATGGGAGTCAGGGTGTCATCGTTGTCATCTTCTGCAATACGGCAGACCAGTAACGGTAAGGCGTTATTTTGGAGATGGTGACTCATTCGGTACCCCTTTCTGAGAGTATAGGGAGCGCCAGGGCCGAACACGAGTATGTTGTGTTGCGCAGGGGAACGTTTTAAGTAGATAGTTTCTTCGTCTAGCTTCATCGTGGTATCCCATGGGACACTTAGTAAATCCTCATCCATTTCTTCATCTCTACCAAACCAGTTTGCCAAGCGTTCCAGAGAGCTAAACAAACCACGGCGTCCTGTAGACGTCTTGTGTTCGCTGCCGGCTTCTTGCTGTTTGATAAGGATATCATCTGTGCCGTTCTCTAGTGCTCCAGCCTCCCGGATTGTGGTCACACAACGTGTCAGTTGATAGGCCTCTGTTGGTAAAGATAAGATATTAATTCTAACGTGGTGTTGATATTACACATTTCGGTGTGTATTATTAGTGGATGCAAAGACTGAATTTTCTATATAGGATTATAGGCATTGATCTCGTGAGGAATTCAATAGTTTGCCATAGAGTCCATTCCGCGTCACCGAGTGGGTTTTTTCTCCATGTTTCTAATATGTTTGAATCATTTAGAAGAAAAGAATACCCCAGTAACAAAAGTTCTAAATTTTTCAAAAATTTGAAAATGAAAATTTGAATATATTTGAATTCATTTATATATTTCTGAAACATTTTGAAAGTGACTGTACAAAGATCTCTTTATTTAGAATAAATGTGAACTACCCATGTGTTTCTTTCACTATTCGAAATATTTAGAAATATTTCAAACAAATGACCAAATGGTAGATGTGGGTAATTGCCCCCATAAAAGTAGGTGCTAATCCTACTCTTTTGTATTCTTCTGTATATTTTTAGATTTCACTGCTGGACACTGGTGGCTCTTTTGTTGTAAGGCATCAATGCCTGACACCTAGGCAGTCTGCCCTGTACTTCACAGGGATGTGTGAATTACTTCCTTCCCATCCCACTGACCTATTTACAAAATGTTAGAAATAATTCGAAATAATGGTAAAAAATGGTGCTGTTAGAATTATTTAGAAACTATTTGAAATGTCATAATCCACATCGGGAATATTTCAAACGTTTTAGAAAACCAAGGAATTATTTAGAATATTGACAAGATGTTCAAATTATTTCCAAATTATGAAATTTCTTACACAAACAATTACAAAGAATTCAAAACATTTCTAAATAATGACAATAACAACCCACTCGGTGACGCGGAATTGACTCTACATGTGTGTAATATTAAAAATACTAGCTTGCTGGAAATCCAACTTCACCGAGCGAGTGTCCATGGTGTACTCTAAATATGTCTATAGCTATTTGCTGACTAGAAAGATAGAACACTAACCTGATAAGAGGCAAGGTGTACGGAGGATGTCAATGTCGTCCCTGTCCCTGGGTGTCATCTTTAGTTTCCGAAATAACCTAGCTTGTTGAGTGAGTGTTGGACAGACAGCGGGAAAAGCTGTAAAACAAAAACACAAGTATCATTTCCGCATTCTATTGACAAGGTAGTATGTGGGCACCTAACGTCGCGGGGATTGACTACAGGTACATACATGTACGTCAACACAAGTAACACTTAAAAGTATGGAGCTTAAGCAAGGAAGCAAATGGCGCTCTGCTTGGGTACATGCGTGAAACAGTTATGCGGCAAACCCATAAAAAAAGGAATGAACAGGTGGGATTACAGCAGTTAAGCGTAGGACACCCCCCCCCCCGTATCGTCGACGTTGCAGTTCACCCCATGATAAAGAAATAAACACATGGGACGATATTTTGGCAATGCTACAATAGTTAAGCACGCAAACTATCATTCCACCTTTCCCCGAGTCATGGAGTGAGTCATGATAAAAAAACCCTTTCCAGGCAAGCACGTAGCCTGGAATCCATCCGTGAACGCTTTATCTCCGCTCACTTAAGGTCTTATAGCTCCATCGACAAGCCGAATACGAAATGTATCGTTTCATTAGTAAGAATATTTACCTTACTTCTTATCTTAGAGCCAGTGAAATGGTGTAATGTAGCAATCCTCAATTGTGAAATCTTCTTGAACTTTTTTAATACATAGTATTGCAAGTATGCTTGCACTCTAACCTCCTCCCCATCATAAAAATGGCTCGTACTCCCATATGTTGTCTTATTGCCCGGCTGTGGGTATATGAGTACACAAGGCAAAATGTGCATCACGGACAGCAAGGTTTATGCAAAATGACTTACCTACCTTTTACTTGGCGTAGTGGTGGTGGTCTTGGCGTGGTGACTCTCTCGCAGAATTCTCTGTGAAAGCGGATGTAGTGAAACATTTGAACTATAGCGCCTTTCAAGAGTAAGTTCCCCTTTTTGCTCCACCTCCGAAACTCGCTGCTATGGTATCACTTCCCCATTTTTGCGTCGTGTAAGAGGTTTAACGTTTGGCAACCTGTCACAGACTGGGTTGTTTGTCGCGAAGGGGAATCCCCTTTATGATTTGTCAAACGCTATTGGCTGGGTTTGGCACAAACATGTTATCGAGTTGCCTGTTGCCAAAGCACGATAGTTCCTCTTTCTGACAAAGCAAAGTTTCTGTTCCTCTTTTTGCTGTCAGTCAAATGGAAAACAATAACTGGTCTGCCATTGGCTGCAACCCACACCTACTTATGCACGTTCTCTCTGCATATATATATAAGGCAGCGCAAGTTGCACAGCTCATTCTATATTTTGTCCATGACGTTCCAAATACAAGCACCACTTCGAAAACGCACAGGTACGTCAATTCTCTTACTATAGAAAACATTTGCGTTTATCATACATCATAAATCGTACTTAAGGTTGCTTTTGACGGTACCTCCCTGACTTTGAACGCTGCATTATTTCTATAAACACCATGATTGACAAGAAAATCGTATGGGTACCGTGTTATAGTACCTTTGACCGCGAACGAATTGCCATTGATCTGTAGATAATTCTATGGGTGGAAAGTGAGCGTCAATAGAGCAATACTATTGCATCAGTGTGTGTGTAAAACCTGCTCAGCAAGAAAGGAGGGATGGTTGAGATGACATTAGCTAATCTCCTTACGTGCATGTGCGTAATTACGTAAGTAAAGTGGGCCTGCACAGACAGGTAAGGCGAGTACAAAACGCACGCAAAACCAGACTTGGAACTGAGCCAAAGGAGGAAGATTGATACGTTCAATGCAATTTAAGCGTTGCATGGTAATGCAATAAAAAGTAAGGAAGTCTAGTTCTGCTGATAGTTAGGAAATTTGGAGATTTTCGAAATGCAACCAATTTTCAGACAAACGAAACGGGTCCCGGGCCAGGTCACGTCTGCAGGTACTTTCCGCCTGCAGGCCGGGTATTCCCCTCACTCACTGTCCGCTGCCTGGTACAAGGTGTCTCGGGAAAAACTGCCAGTTTTTACCAATTTTTTATGTTTACAAACATTGCAAATATTAGGATGCTCAAGCTAGAAAGATTCTGAGCTGTACGATTTTGCAAATTATCCTTAATATTGCCTGGGGCATTGCAAAGCGACCTCGTGACTTCCAGGTGACATTCTAGAAAAATCTGGAACCTCCATTGAAATGGGGATTAAGAGGAAAAACCGGTTCATAGAACACGATAAACGACCTAGATGGCTTCAGTCCTGCAAGTATAGGGCCTGCATTCAAGTTGTACTTGTCGTAGCATCGTTAGGGCAGTTCATGATTAGAGGCAGTGCACATATACGTACCATCGAGGACCCAGGGCTTCTGTGGGCAGGAATCAAACGTGCACTGTCTCGGACTCAGCGGCAAAGCTCAATTCTAAGCGATCAGCAGACCAATAGACGATCCTCTGCAATAACAGGTACCTATTTTATTCATATTGTTCGTGGCTCCTATAATAGCGTGGATATATCTACCGGGCGGCCGTATGTTCTGCGGTGAAAATACAAACAAATTTCGGTCATAATCAATCAAAAAGGGCGGGAAGTTCGAATTGATTGCTTAATCATTAATGTAGGTTGCCAGAAGTAACGGGGTGCTATAAAACGTTACGTCACCCCCTCCCCAATTAGTCCAGCGGCATAGCTGAAAAATTGTGCCCTTTTGTCTAAAACTAAAAGCCCCAAATTTGGCACACATGTACTAAATGTATTATAAGTAAATGGAATGGAAATAGAGGCATTTCCATTTCTGCACAGGAGCGTCATTACGTCATCTTGAATTTAGAACCACCAAAATAGGCAAAGCATTCTAGTGTCCTGATTAAGGGGGAGGGGCAAAAAATTAAACATCAAAATGGAAGGGATAGACAGGTACATGTATTCTCTGCTACCAGTTTAAGTTGCAAAGTTGCAAAAAATAATAAGCGTTAGTGTGCAAAATAAGGCGACCCAGTGATAGCCCCTGCGTTATACCATGGAGGGGAAAACCGAACTAAAAAAATACCTGGGGAAATCCAGCCCAGGTCTCGCCTGTTCAGTCAGAAAGCACACTTCGCGGGTGCGCACACGTTTAAGGCGGCAGACCTGGTAGATTTTTTCCCCGAGCCTTCCAGGATCTCCTCTCCTCAGAGAAGTTTACATAGAGCAACAGATACATTGCAGGTAAGGGTATTGTTTTGTAAACTCAGGCATGCGATGTTGATTTCTGCCGGGGAGCGACGCGAGTTACGCCGCGGAGTGAGGTTTCAAATCTTCGCCGCCGCCGGAGTTTGCCGGGGAGGGAGTTTATCGTAGCCTCTACCAGGCTTCGGGAGGCGGCTGGAAAGGGTAGGAATCAGCCAAATAAAAGAGATAGCATGCCAGGGGAGTTGGTCTACTGGGAGAGAACAGTTTGCACCCGGATGCGGCAAGCTAGTTTTTCGCCGCAGTCTTATATACATGTATATGCGTCTACTAAATGTTAAGTATAAATGTCTGTTGTGGACTGACTAACATGTAAATACGGTCCCGGCTTTTTTCCAATAGGGAAATCAGTGAAATCTACATTAGACAAAGAAAGGGCGCTTCAATTTCAAGCGCTTTTCAGATGTAATAACTTGTGACTTTCACTTGCAGTTCATGCTCGAAAACATATTCTAGAAATTTTTAGAAATTTACGGTATCTTCTGACATTACGTATTGGGAGCTTTTTATGTTTTGTTTTTTTAGCTGTAGTCATAATCAATGCACAGATGATAGGCACATGTATATAACATACGGATTGGGCAGTCTTCGGTTTTTGAAAGTACCTACGGGCAAGTCCGGGCGACAAACAATATTATAACATACTGGTACAGTACAGACCGGTATGCATTGGGCTGAATCTGATGTGCCATGGTTTTCCCCCGATGACCTTGCCGGGGAATCCCAATTTGAGGGTAGAAAGTACTAGAACCTCAGCATCATATGATGAAGCATCGAGGGCAAGCCTGAACAGACAAGCAGCATTTTACCATGCATTGAAGAGAAATGGGGGTATTGGTTGAATCAGAGGCAAAATAGATGGCGTCCCTCGTCCCTCGATTTTTATTACAGACACTTCTAGCTCTGCCTAGCGTCTATGCATGGTATGGTATAAAAGTACCATGACTGTCGACATGCCGTACGCGTGTCCCAACACGCATACATTGTTTGTACTAGTCCACAATAACAACTACTGTTTCACTTCCTCTTTTTAATGGTCACATCACCATGTAGTGAACAAACTCAAATAGGGTGTTCAACGTTCAATCTTTTTGCGTGTCATGCATCAGTAATTATGATGAATGAATGAAGACCTTTATTGTACACATTTAAGTACAGGTCATCACAAAAGAAGAATAGTATACAGATAACGTTACATATATGCATTGTAACGACAACTGAGTAAATTCGACTTCTTCTCGCTTCTATCTTAGTAATAGTGAAAAGGTAGAATGAAAGAGACTGGAACACTGGCACGAATAAACAACGTGAACGTGTATTTGAATTGCTGCAGTTTATGAGCGCGGTGTAGTGAAGAGGCGGGCATGGCAGAGGCCGCGGAGACCAGGGGAGAGTGCGCTCTGAGTGCGATGAGAATGGAAAATCCAGGTTTGTTTCTGACTCCGAGTCTGACATTTTTCTGTGTTAACTACTGTTAGATATACCTTCTACATTTACTTGGCTACGACACATTCTTCACCGGTTATCCAAGCGTTTTTGTGTCTTGGTCACAAAAGGATAAGCACTTTTTTCAAACCTTCAAGCATTTTTCTCTATGAGCTTCTTAGCACTTGTCCATGTTCAACAGGCATGGGAGAACCGAGGACCCGTGTGCCTCTCCGTGGTGAGTTGGAGACATGGGACGACATGGAGAGTCTGGCAACAGGTTTTAGCCGGAAACTGCAGATGGGAAAACCTGGTCGAGGACCAGGGACAGGCAGGGTCGAGCACGGACCTCCCCACTTCAAGGTTAGCTTCCCAAAAATTATATGTCAATTTGTCGATATTGTTACATTGTCTCAGCTAAGATGTCTTGGCTTGACACTGAAAGTGGATAGTGTGCGTAATATGTTGTTATTGTTTAGAAGTTCATACTTCTGACTCCAGCCAAAATTCTGTCTGAGTTGATTATATGCTTTCCCTCTGTCTATTGATGGTCAGGATGAGCCACAGGCGGGCTGGCACATCGGATATTGGAACAGTGACCGACGCCCTTGCCTGTACCATCCCCAAACACCCACGGCCATCTCACTGGTCACTGGCGATGACCGTGGCCAGTTCGGCCTTCTCTGGACCGCAGACGATGAACCGATGGTCTTGGACATCGACAACGTCGACTTTTGTGTTGATCCCAGCACAGTAACTTGGAAGGACAGGTGAGCGATTAAACCGTTGGTATTTCTTAAACAAACATTTGCAGTGCACATTGCATTAGCACGGTAGGGTGCATACTCCGGTAAGCTGATTAGTTGAGGCATCAATAACGTTTTAAACTTGTCAATCTTACTTGCCAGACTGAATGATGCAGAGTTGGAGTTTGCGATCGGAGACAAACTGAGGCTGGTCCTGGCTGGGAACAGACCTCCTAGCCCTTCACAGAAGCTGAACTTCAAACCAGCCACAATCTAGTGAGTATAGACCGTTTGGCCATAAAGTCTTGTTTAGTAGGTTGAAAATGTTAGTATCCTCCCAATTTTATGTCAAAAATATCTTTTATGTAAGTATATGTTGTACAGATGACATTTGCATCTTCTACTTCTTAGCATGGACACCTCCACCATGCAACAGGTGGCTATAGTGGGATCTTCTGAACACTCCAACTCGAAGAAGATCAAACATATCCTGGTTGCACAAGTAACAGAGGACAGGGCTGCTAATATCGACACCATCACAAAGGCAAAAAAGGTATTACACTTTTTTTCAAAATATACATTGATTTTCATTTGTTTGTAATGATAAATATTATTTATTTTGATAACAATAGTTCTAGGCAAAAAGTAACCAATTCAACACATTTAAAAGAACGTTAAGGAGTTACATGTACTACATGTTCTTTGAACAGGAAAACCTGATGAGGGACACTGGAAGGCACAGGTACTGCAACGTGGACAAACTGCTGGCTGACATCAGGAGCGTCTACTTCCCCAGTTTTGCCACAAGCCCACAAGAGGTACATGTAGTAAACATCTTAACATGTTTCATCCTTGCTGATTACATAAATCTGTCAAGAAACCTATATCTACAAGCTTAAGAGCTATTAAAGATCATGGAAGAGAGCAAAATGCAGAATCACTGCCTCTGCAAATTTTCTATTTCAATCATGTTTAACAAATTGTTTAACCATTGAAAACCAATTGTAGTCAATCGCATTGTCAGATCATGCGGACTCTTGGGGCATATGCTGCTGATGTGTCCAGTGGTAACGTGAATAGTCGAGGTAAGTGCGTTTAGCACTTACTGTCAATTCTATGGTGAGAATGGGAACCAAATCTCAGGTATTTCCTAGTTACATCGAAATTATGTCACTTTATCCTGTTAATTTCAAGTCATCTGTAATGAAGAAATGGAAACATTAGTTTGAAAGTACCTTTTTACCACAGTTTTCCTTCAACTATGCTGTTCGATGGGCTATGTTTAGCCACAGATAGATGAAAAAATTAAGCTATGACGCACACAAGTACATTGGGTGTTTACCTGTTATCCATGAACAGGTAATCGGGAAAGAGGGGCCCTTCTTCTACACTACCAAGACGGCCCAAGGTACATCCCATTCACTGCAGCGTTCCACAACACCATCAGGCAACAAGGACTGAACAGGGAGACTGAGAGGATGCGCACCTTTGCGACCTGGCCACCATCTTCCCCCGTACCTCCAAAAAGCCTCGTACAGGCTGGTTTCTTTTCAATTGGAAAGGAATTGTACGTACAGTGCTTTGTGTGTGGTGATGTGAAAGGTACGTGGAAGTATGGTGATGATCCCCTGCAGTGTCACTATGATATGAATGGGTGGTGTGAGTTTATGCTCAGCTATGATGTGGGGAATGTCTCCCTCGAGGAGGAAAGTGCTCTAGTAGTTAGGAGTGAGCATGAGGTGTTCGGCACACTGCCAACTGTGCAAGCTGGTCCAGTGGCTTTTGATCCATCAACAGTACAACAGCTATTGAAGGAAATGCATCAGGAGTGTGAGAAACTTTCGTGCAAAATCTGTATGGATGGAGAGATTGCATATGCATTCTTCCCATGCGGTCATTTGGTTGTGTGCTCAAAATGTGTCAACAATGGCTACAAAATCTGTCCTATGTGCAGGCAGGTGATCAATCGAACCAAGAGGGTATACTTCAACTAGACTTCTGAGACCCTATGTATGCTTCTATCAGTTAATATTGTATTTATCCTGGAGACACTTGATTTCATGAAGCTTATTTTGAACTCTTTCTGTTATCCATGTTTATATTCAACCAACCAACCAACCAACCAACCAACCAACCAACCAACCAACCAACCAACCAACCAACCAACCAACCAACCAACCAACCAATCAATCAATCAATCAATCAATCAATTAACAGGATGTTCATCTTTCAAACGAATCTGATGAAAGGCTGATCGACCCACATGCCAAACATCATAAAAATTGTTTGTAACTTCTTGGGTTATAAAGGGTACAGCATTCTTCATATCAGACCAAACACTTAAATTTCTGAAAGGCATCAGTGCCGTCAGATCAATGTAACCTTCTATGAAGATTTCCCATATTGACAGTCTTATGTACTGCTGGGAACAAAAAAAATGTACAGCTATGTAACCTTCTATGAAGACACGTAATATAATGTACAGTTCTAAGTAGCCTTCTATGAAGCAATCTCATGTACACCAGTCAGTGCCACGTTTTCACGTGCCTTGCGTGTACAATACTGACAGGTCGTCAGTCCTATATGTAGCCTTCTATGAAGCAGATGTACATTACAGTTTTACGTACATTTCAGATAAATTCAATTCAATTCAATTTATTTATTTAACCAGTAATTACAACTCAGGCCAATTTGGCCTGCTTTTCAGGTAATCCTGGATACATATAAAAATACACACAACAAATATACATTACATAAACTATTACTAAATTACAACATCCTAAACATCAAGAGTGTCAAATCCTGCACCTAATGCTCTGTATAAAAGTCCTAAGAAGTCCTGCTCCTAATGATCTGTATTAAAAGTCCTGAGAAGTCCTGCTTCTAATGTTCTGTTTAAAAGTCCTGAGATAAATAAGGTACCTGTACAAGAGTCAGGAGGTTTAATGTTCTCAGATGTATTGGTCTGTATCTTGTTGCTGTCCAAGATAATTCAGAAGTAAACTGACATTTTTTGTGCTATGTGGCATGTGGCTAGGTCATGGCCCTGAAAGTCAAAACGATTAAATGTTGCACCCCTATAGCAGTTTCCTTTAGAACTGCACAGATGTTGGTGCATATCATTGTGATCCGTGGTTACGTATACTTTTCTTTGGATCTGCAGCTTTTTTTCGGTGGGAAAATAGGGCATTAATGATTTCAAACACAGATGGTCCTTTCTAGGGAGAGGTTGTATGGGTCTCAGCCAGGAAAATTTTCCTCAAGTCAACTGTTCGCAGTTCCTTTTTCAAGCTGCACATTGTTAAGGTATGTAAGAAACCAGTATAATGGTACTTTTTTTATTACAATTTGGCCAAAACTAGATGGAATTACATTTAATTGATTGGTTGTTTCCTTCTATAATGCTTTGCAAACACAATACATGCTCTTGAACTACATGTACATGTAGTGTTATATACATGTCTAATGGAAATGACTATCACTAGAATCACAAGTTCACTGACTGATTGTAGATTTGCTGTGAATGTGCTTGATATGTATCAATACTTGCTCAGTAATCCAGACTGTCATGCATTCAGAATTGTCTAAAATTGGGTGTGACATAAACTAAAGGGCTTTATGCTAGCTGTATGGTGGTTAATCTGGTGGCAACATTGGCTGTTGTATTTGTTTACACTTTACAGTAATGTGCACTTGATGATTTGTGATGTGCATGTATGTATGTAAATATAAAATTTGCTAGTATTGTTGTGTGCTGTGGTTTTAAAGAAGTGCGGCAAGATGTTTGAAATGTGTGTTTGTTTGACAATAAAGATGTCTCTTGACATATAAAATGGCTTTTGTCTGTTGTCTGACTTTTTGATGAGTTTAATCAATAGCATGAGTTCCTGTTGCTCTACTTTCTGTGACTCGAAATAAGCAGACAATTGGCAAATATTGTCCAATTATAATGTTAAAACATTTATTTTTACTGTGCCTTGCTTTTTGCATGAACCAGACATTTGAATATTAGTAGTACATTAACTTTTACAAATATCAGATTACGTGCTTAAATTTACCAAATTGAATCAGGCTCAACTCAGAGAATAAGGTCTGAATGTTGCAGCATGTATGTACAGACTGACATTTGGCAGCAATAATTATTCTCATAGTAAAGAATGTATGGCTTGTCAATGTCAAATAATGTACAATGTTGACTAGTCACATTTCTATTTTATGTTTATATTTGTGTCAAATTGACATATTTTGGATGCTAGTACTATGTACAATTCTCATATATTACACAATTGGCTTTCTTCATAATACATTGCAATACATTTACATACAAATTTTACTTTACCATCTTCTCCAGTAGCAATTCCATCCAAACTACCTTCAACCTTGGGCTGAATCAATCAGACATTAGCATTTCATGCAGTCTGTTATAAAGTTCTTTTTTTTAAAGATACCATGATTATAATATTTTCAAGGAGGATTGGATGAAAATCTTATAATCTAATGTGTTTAATATGTAAACAAAAAAAAAGTACAATACAAATAAAGGCATGGACACTATGTAACATGTCTATCTATACTTTCACAGCACAGTAGCATAGTGCCTATCCCTTCAACAATTGTCAAGGTATAAAACACACAGATGCACTCAAAGAAAAAAAAAATGTAACAATTCAGCAAATGTCTGGCTAATCACCATGGTTATATTTTGACGTATAAGATATATCATATGAATGATGGTAATATAATACTAATGAGAATTAGAAGTCAGCAAAGCATAGCAAATCTGACGGACAACTTCCCTGAACATTGTAAGTTTAACTCGAGATGGATAAGTTGTATCTCTGTGGCACACTGAGGTTTTAAAAGGAGTGTTCCAGAATGGAAATGTGCAACTGTCATTGCGACACTGCAGAGTGTACTTTGCACATGCACAACAAGCTATTACACATGTCTCACACATATCAACATGACAGGTGCCACACCTTCGTAGGATGGGCTGAAAGATATGGCACACTGGGCAGTTCTTCTCGTGACTAAGCGAGGACCATTCCTTGTGGTGTTTAAAACACCACACCATAAGTTCCTGGACTGGTTTCACATGTGATGAGAAAAGTCTCAGAAGCGTCTGTAAACAGAAGAATAGATCTCTATCAATCGTTGACTTTATTAACATCTGCTTAAAATGTTTTTGACCACACACTCGAGTCTTCCTCAGTAGACTGACCCAATGAAGCTTGTCACATGGCTTCACTGGGTCAGTCCACTAAGGAAGACCAGAGTGTCTGGTCAAAAGCTCTAGGTGAGACAACTTTTTTGTGTTGGACCAAAAGTTTTAACTTAAAACATGTAACTACCAACACAGATGAACTTTCATGATTGCTTAATATGTAGATAATCATATGTTGTTTACCACATTTAGATAATTACAACACTGTGAAATTGTTTTAATTTTATTTGGTGTATTCTGCCATTCGCAGTAAGAAGTGGAGAGGAATGCATGAGATGCTAACAGTGTCTTGATCACTAAAATAAATATATTTGGAGCTACCGTGTTGAGAGTACATGTATCTTGTTTTATACTTAGTGACACATTTTTTTAAGCATACAAACAGTTGAATTGTAGACTCAATAGCAAAGCCAGAGGATGATCAGATACAGTACCTGTTAGAGTCACTTTACTTTTTTTTCTGCAGTGAAGCTTGTGAGAAAGAAGCAAGATGATGTGTAGATTGAAACTTACCATAATGATTATAATAGACAATATAAGATAATTTATATATTGATTTGCTTTAGGATGCAGAGAATCACAGGAATAGCACAGCCAGTACATAATTGTAGATATGCTACAATATAGTATAAGAATAGAAGTATTGATGTAGTACAGTATGTACACTATGTTGCATTTCTAATATGGTCTGATTGAAATAACCAGGAAATCTCGAAGTAAATGTTGGAAGGCAAACTTGATATTTTTCTATCTCCCCATTTTTGTTAAAAACGGTTAGAGAGGCTAATTTCATAAACGAAATGTCAGCCAGTAATAGTAACTCAATCTACTTTCCAACAAATGCTTTCAACAGCTAACAAAAACTTTGGTAAACTGTTGAAAGACATCTAATTTTGAACGCATTGTTCTACTGACTGACTGACTGACTGACTGACTGACTGACTCACTCACTCACTCACTCTCACTCACTGACTCACTCTCATTTACTCACTCACTCACTCTCACTCACTCACTCACTCTCACTCACTCACTCACTCACTCACTCACTCTAATTTACTCACTCACTCTCACTCACTCTCATTTACTCACTCTCTCTCACTCACTAACTCACTCACTCACTCCATGCTGGAGTGGAGGTGTCATTGTCATTGTCATCGTTATACATTATGTACCTGTAATGCAGGTGTCATTTGGCGCCTGTGGTAGGGGTCATGCTCACCAGGTTGATGGAGAAGGATGCCATCACTCTATAATTCAGTGAATTGTTCAATGGTCAGCTTTGTTTATAAATCAAATTACGACCAAAAGTCAGTTGTTTTCGTTGAAGAGATTCATTCAGTTGTTTTCATAATTAAAATTTACAAAGTCTCATTCTGATACAGCGGGCTTGGAATCACAGAGATTCAAGATTAATCATGGCAATTTAATTTACAAATTCTTCCTTGTTTGTTCCATCTATCATAAAATCAACAATGAACCAATACTTGACTCTGAAATCACTTGACAATTATAATATATGCCTTAGTTAAAGAAGTTACAAAATACTAATTATTGAATTAAAACCACATGTACCTCAGTTGCTTGGGGAATGACTCTTTGGAGACAGCTCAGGACTTCTTTGTGGAATTGTTGATTTGTCGCAAGGTCTTGTGTTGACAAGTTAAGCTGTTGCGAACGTGTTTTAAAGTGCATGCAGTATGGCACTTTACAGGTTGTTTCCTGGCAGTGCGCTACGTGCCCGATATACAAGTTCACCAACATTTTGCACTTTTCGCAACAAACTTTGTCACAAGTCTTTACGTGCCAAAACAAAGGCACCACTTGCAGACAGCTTGAACACTTTTCAAGGTGACTAACAAGAAGACAGTAGTCTTTCAGGACTGGGATGTCATGCAGAAATGTTTCCACCATCTCAGTACTAGGGAGCTGGAAATGAATGGTTGAATATTGAGCTTTAAAAACTTAATGAATGGATGGTAAACTTTGTGTATCTTAATAAAGTGATGTAGACAATAGTGGCATTTTTTGCAATAGTCTGAGTATTTAAAAGCATTTTGTGTGGTGTACATATATGTGTACATGTACGACGTGTAACGTTACATAAATGTAACGTTACACGTACAGTGAAAATATGTACACTGCACAATTTATATCAATTCTAACACATTTTCAATTTGTTAATATGCATTTCTTTACATTATATGTCTGCTGCTTGGAGATGACTCATTCAAGAAGATTATGAAAAGGAAAGGTACTAAAAATCATTTAACATTAGATTTCCGGCATCCTGGACTTATATATAATTATCTAGGATGCAAAATAGTGTTGCATGACATGTTGATTCCTTACCAGAGGGTAGAAGCTCCTCAAAAGCATGTCAAGCTCCCTGACACGCTCTGTGAGATGTTGGAGATCCTGCTGGGCCATCTCAGCTGCAGCAGTGTAATCCTCCACCAGTTTCTTTGTAGCAGCCATCCGGGTATCAAGGTCTGCCCAGGCCCTTTCCTTAGCGATCTGTTAGTTACCGGACCGGGTATAAACTGTCAACAATTTCCTGTACCAACATCAACCTTCTACTAGATGAGGCGATACAATGACTCATTTATTTTCTTACAATGAGAAATAATACACAACTAACTCTTAGACATATATCATCTTGTACAGATATGTATTGCTTTTCTTGTCTGCCAAAGAATGTATGCTGAGTCTATATTGAAGACAGCTCCAAGCAGACGTTGGGATAGAAAATCGCAATGTACGTTTTCAGAGCTGCTGCTTTTTTCTGACCGTAATTGAGCCATCTGAAATGGTGAAGCTAGCATAGTGCCCCAAGGATAAGTGGTTAATACAGAAAAATGTTTGCAATGCAGACAGACTCATTCTCGTATAGGACTGTTTGATGCTCACAGTTACTAAAAGTACAGTGCTCATGTGAATTTAGGGTTTTACCAGTTTGGTCAAGTGTGACCGACCGAGGCCAGATTTTTAAAAACTCTACCCCCAGTACACTTGCCAAATCAGAAAACAATCTACCCAAACACCTGCTTGGAGATTACAGATTTTATATATAACAAAGCTGTTACTGTGTATGGAAATTCAATGTTAAATGCTCAGGATTACAATCAGCTAATGCCCCCCACCACAACTGAAACACACATAAATACGAACCTTTCCCCAATATCCATTATTTTTAGGCATTTACAAAATGTGCAATTACCTGTTGCTGCTTCACCTTACTCTCTGACAACTGCAATGCCTCACGGAGGTCTTGTCTTTCTTTCTCCCCTTTCTGTAGATTTCTTCTTCCTTCACTGACCTCATCTTGTAGTTCTCTTATCTTTCTCTCCACACGTGCCTGTAACAGGATATACAAATTGTACACACTTAGTGAAAACAGAATTTGCACAGCAGGAGTGATTGTGTGTCAATGATATAGCCCGCTGTCTCATTTTTATGTTGCTTTACACATTACTATTTGCGCATACATAATTTAGCTGTAGCAAGCATCCTATCTCGAGCAGATAATGGGTAACTATTAATCATTAACACTTAACAGCTTAGTTGAATTTGCGATGTTTTGTAAAAGGTAAAATTAAATTACATGACATGTATATACATATAGAAAGATTTATACATTTTGTATAATATATATATGACTAAATGAGTTAGTTACTGGCACTTACATTGTGACCCTGCTGACTGTTTGACAACTGTTGCCGCAATCTTGTGTTCTCCTCCTGGCTGTTTTGGTTGACTTTTTCACTCCGTGACAACTGTTGCCGCAAGAGTTCGATCTCCAGCTGATATCTACTGTTCGATACAGCAAAATCCAGGACACGATTGGAACTGCATGAGTCAACCTGACAGAAAAGAAATTAAAGTATTTTTCAAGTTGCCATGGCCTGTGGTCATGACTGTAAAAAAGCATTAACATTTAATAACAGTTAGTGTAACAGTAACTGTAATGGTAACATGATGATGATGTTTTCCAACAGTAAATACATGTATGTGTCGTAGTGTGAAAAGTTTAAACTGCACCAATTTTAAGACTTTGGTCCACAAATGGCTTAATATCATATGTACTTATTGTAATGGCTAAATATCATATTGTGCTTATTGTATCAAAAGTAATTGAAAAGTAACAATTACAACAATAATGAAACTTCATATCCAAGCGAACAATAAGCAAATGACATAATTTGTCTTCACGGTAGTTACACTGGAACTTATAACATTCTTATTTGATTGTAGTTAAATTAGTATCACAACTTTCAGATGTTAAGTTAAAGTCCTATACATTATTCAGTAACCATAAGACTAACTTACATCTGAGTTACTTTTCAGACTCTCGTAGTGAACTTGCAGTCTGCTACCCAGACAAAGGTCACCAGCAGGGGATGACATCTGCTGCAGTCCCTTTCTTGTCTTCTGGAGCACATCTTCCAATGCTTGGCTGAACTCTGGAACACTTTGCTTTTGAAGAAAATTATTATCCCTCTTTTGGTAAATTGGAAATTAATGGTGATGACCCTAAGTTGCAGATGTGTGTGATGAATGATTGACAGGCTGTTCATTGACAGTTAAATAACTGACACTTATATATAGAACATTGTACATAGAACATTGCTGGTGAATTGCCTCCCTACCAAGGTACATTTTGTATCTGGAACAATTTCCATACACAAAAAGCCCAATACATTTCTTAACCATACTACATGGATGCCATTTATATGAAAAAAATGTTGTGTAATACTATTATTATTATGTTTACAAACCTGGTCCATTCTTAAAGATGTTCCTGTGGTCCAGGTGACTCCATTACAACACTATTATGATGCCTGGAATAAGGGAGGCTGCATTAGACACACTAATAGAATTCCAACAATTATGTGACATGCACACAAACTACCACACGCCAGTGAAATACCACCCTTATAAATGCTAATATTACTTCCATGGCACTGTAGTGTTATCTTGCTGCAGGGAGGAAAACAGGTTTTCACATTTTTAAAGTTCGTGTTGAAACAATTCTGTAGTGTTTTAAGTATCGGTAGAATAACAAAATACATATTCACTGTGTTATGTTATCATTTCCTGGCAAGAAAGCACTGCTAAAACCATGCAATTAAATCCACACATGTCACAACATACATGTACATGAACAGTTGTCATCAGATCATAGAGAAATTGCCATCTTAACCTCTTGGCACCTAACCCATTGGACTGCAGGGGAATACCCTGAATCACGCTGTGTCAACATTTTAACTTCCTCTTTTTTTTTACTGTACTGGAGCATTCTTCAGTTTTACAGATTGATTCATAGTACTGACTTGAACGCAAACACACACACGCACACACATGCACACACATGCGCACAGAACACACATACGTGCTCATACATACACACACACACACACGCACACAAACACACACACACACACATATATAAACTGTTACATTTTTCACCAATCATTTATCCCCACAAAAATTACTCAGTTTTCCCTAATGTATCGATATAGCAAAAACTTTTTGTAACTTTGGTGTTAAGTTGTCCATAATGGCAAAGAAATATTGCCTCCTTTCTGGTACATGTACAAAGCGTTTGAAACTTCTCCTACCATAGACATATGCCCTAATTTATCATCCAAATGGCATGGGACCTGGGAAATTTTCTAATTGTTGTAGATGTGCCAAGTATGACATTCTCATCTCTTACATGTATCAATGTGACAGAGTTTGAGAAAATGCTCATGAATTATGCAACTTGAAAACTGATGAAAGGTAATCAGCAATTTTTATCTGTACTCACCTTCAAAATCCAAGCCATGATAATATTTTCTCAATTCCTTCAGTCATAATTTTGACTTCTATCCTACCCCTTCTGTTTGTCCCCTGGGACTTCAGTATGTTCTCCAGCCTTCAGTTTTGTAAAGTCACTAACATAAAAGTCAAAATCAACTAAAAGTCAAATGTGCTAAACTTTATGAATTCCACAAATTCACACAATAATTTAGGTTAAATCGGTTTCCCCACGTTGTTCATCTACAAATCCATCATAATTCATTGCTAGTAATATAATTCCACCCTGGCTTTACAGCCTCTACCTGGCGACAAGAAGTGGCTGGACAGAGATACTGGCCAAATAGACAGATATCGATGTGCCATAGGAGTTGGTCCGCGCTAAGATAACGGTTAACCACTTTCGCTCATCTTTCCAGCCGCGCGCTTCCCGAAGCTCAGCAAGCATAGGTTTGGGTTAAGATATTTTTGGCGTGTTTTAGGCTTTTTTATCGGGGTTTGCTTTTTGCACTGGAATTTTCTTTTCACCCAACGGAAAAGAAAATTCCAGTGCAAAAAAGAAACACCGATAAAAAAAGGCTAAAAACACGCCAAAAAACAAACCAAAACTGAGGTAGAGACCGGGGCTCGAAAGAACCCGGGCCGCCGTGAATACCAGGTATTTAGCCTCCTGATAAGTTTTCTGTCTAGATGAAAGATTTAGTGAGGACACCATTACATAGTTTATATTGGCCGTACGTTATCATCCGAAATGATTAATTTTCGCAGGCCTTCTAGCAATGCTACGAAAGAGCTACGTTTCGTCTCGCCGACACATTCGCACTAGAGGTTTACACATGCGTCGCATGATACATGTAGCTTTTCGAAAAATCCAGGGCATTCTCTCAAGGAACGGACGTTGATGTGTAGTGCAACTTCTACTATTTTATAACGGATTATGATATTTGATTGTCATAGATCCCTAGTCTACGATCATACTCAGAGTAATTTACGCCGATAATTTTTTCGACGGATGTGACCGGCAGCCGCCTTTAGAAAACTGCGCAAATAGAAATCCCCATATTTCCTTTCAAGGTTGGTAATGCAGAAACATTTTTGGTCACTTCTAGTTACTTGCTCCTATAAACCCAAACCATTTGTACAGGCGTACATGTACATGTAAAAGAGCAGTACTTACCTGTTTGAAATTTCGCGTGCGACTTGAATTTGTTCAAGACCGCGGTAACTGCGGTTGCGTTGGTGGAACTCGGGACGACTTGTTGGAACACGAACGGCCGAACACGAAAAGTCTTCTCAGTCTGATGATTGCTCTTTTTCGGGACACAGAACGGCGAAGGTTGGTTTGATCGCCAGTTGCACACAAAAAGATCAAACACCCGCGCCGTATATTACGCTTTCCCGTCACAGAGCCGGAGCACAAAAACTTCCAATCTAATGCGATTTGCAGTGACTGCAAACCACGGAATGGAGCTGAGATTTCGAGACCTCAAGACTGCAGTGGAACTTTCTAGAAGCCTTCTATATACGGATCGACTGGTGGGTTTTTCCAATGACGTTGTCACATGACCGATACCTGTGGAAAGCACCGATGAGATCATGGCACCCACTTCCTCTTTCACTTTCGCACAATTTTGTGTCAAACTACAGAGAAAACTGGACACCCACGTTAACATAAGGACCAGAGCGCCCATAGTAGTATTCCCTGGACCTCTGCAGTCGCAATTAGAAATATTTTCGCTCTATTTTGCAAAATTTTACATTCTAATGCCCAAACTATAAATAAGTGGGGAATACCCTTCGTAATCTGACCTGTGTTCTATTGTTGTACCCGTTGACTGTTGCCTACCTGTTGCGCCTACCTGTTGACGAACTTACCTGTTGTCGAACATACAGGAGCCCTATAGCGGCTGCAAGTTCTTGTCTCGTCGGCGCAAACGTAAGTATACATCTTTACCATGTTATAAACAATCTACGATTTCAGTACATAGTTGGAATTCAACGTAATGCTACTACATTTAACATACTGTGCGTGGGGAAAGTTGGGATATAATAACGATCTTGGTTATTCAACTTATTCCACTACACGTATGTTGACAGATTTCAGTTATCTGATCATTCATTTCCCTCTTTCTTTCTCAAATTTATCCTTATTTATGTTGTGGATTAAGATTGCATTTATTATACATGTAGTATAAGCCATGTGTTGGCATACAGTTATCATTTTCTCACTATTTCATTATCATCATTATCATTTTATTTGTATATTTAGCTGCATGAAATGGTGGGGGATCTTGAACAAGCGCATTACGGCTTCCTTTGCACCCCCTTCATGCTTTCTTTGTTACATTTATGTTTTACATCTTTCTGTCATAATTGGCCAATACATTTTGGAAATATTGCATGTAATATACCACCTGACATGTTTGATATACTTGACAATAAACTCAATGTTCCTATCTTATGTTCCAGTGAGTGATAATTTAGGTACTGGTCCAGTGTGTGCATGTGCGATGAAATGTAGTACTGTCATAAATAATACTACAAAATTCTGCATATGGAACGTGGTTTGGAATAATCATTTCCCCAAGATAAAAAGGAAAAAACAAAATAGGACATACCTTTGGAAATCATGAATTCCAATTGCCGGAAAGACGAAGCTGTGCATGCATATGCTACTACCCCCACCCCCATACAAATGTTTACCTTCATCTATCCTTCAGCTACTATAAAAAGTCATCAAGATAGTAGACAGACATAATTTTTCATATTCTGGTAAGATACAAATGCAATGGACATGAAATATGTAATCTGTAAATTTCACTTGAGTGATTAATAAAATTTACTTGTCAATAATGAAAATTAAGTTCTTGACTTGTACTTAAAATGCTCATTGCTATCAAGCTACCTGTTTATTTTATCATTTTGTAGATGCATATAAAACAAGAACTACAGAAAGTAAATATGAAATAGACAAATAAAACAGACTATAGAGAATAAATAACCTATACAAAATAAATATGCTGGAAGCAGAAAAAGCCACAATGCTTGTTCTATTCTCCCAATTACAATTAAGAACCCAATTAATAATAATGACACAAAGGAAAACTAACACACCTATGAACCAAAATCTAGCCTGTTTTAAGTTGCTTAATATAACTGTTGGAGGCAGAAACCCAAAATACAATTATTATCATTCTCTCCTATATCCCCACAAGATAGCCTTGTTCATACCATCTGGATTTTTGCTCCACAATGCTAAAAAAATCATGACTTTTTTTAGTGTTGCAGAGTGAAAATCTGGATTGTACCCAGGCTACCCACAAGGAGCTTATCCCCAGGAGTTAGCCAAACGGCCTAATTTCTCCACTCTAACACAATGTTCATGTCTTTTCAGCATCCCGGTTGACAATGCGACAAGGCATTATTGTGCTTGTCCTTTTCCTTTTGTGCCTGGTGCTATTGGTCACCATTTCAGGATGGAGGATGGGAAGAAGGGGGAGACAGAAATTCTGGGCTTGTGAGACTATGCCCAAAATACAGAGTGGACGGCCAGCCCATGATGAGTGCTGTAAGCGTTGTCCTGACTATCAGAAGGTACAAGTACACTGTCAAAAACATAGTATAATACTTAATTTCTTATCAATCACTTGATTACATTATGGAGATTGGTATTTATGTATTTCATTTTATTTTCATCTATTTCTTCTGTGAGCATTTGTGTAGTCCCTTTAGCTGAAAAGGGCTGATTTCCAAGGGCACCAATTAAAACTACAATGACACAATTAGCTAATATAACATAAAATTGACCATACAGCTAAGCTGAAAAATGTACTTCTGGCTGCAGACAAGATAGGTCGAAATGAAGCAATCATCCTGGTCAGAGATTGGGCCATGTGCAGTCTCAACCAGGGCCTGTGGCGTTGGACGAGTGGTCAACTTGATTTGGCAGGTCTCTTATCTTTGGGGGTTCAATCAGGACCAAGAAAAAGTGGTTGTTATGGCCAGCTGTTCGATTATAGAGATAGCTGCTTTGGCATCTTTGACTGTAATTAGAACTCATCATTTGGTTTACTATGTTTTGTATTCTAAGCCATTTGTTCACCCTTTCTGATCCTAAAGTCACATAATTTTTGCATTTTTGAGAATGAATGAAATCAGTGTTATACTTAAAGGTGAGTATTACAAAAAGGGCATACATATATACAGACATGTATGTATTGATAATTGAACTTCCGTGCTGACCTGTATCTATATTGATTTTCATTTATGCTTAGTATATTCCTGTTACATCTGAATGTATCTAATTATTGTGGTCAACACATGTAGTCCACCTATCATGATGGAGATGACCAAGTTGATGCAAGTAGTGTTCTCTGCAAGAGGAAGAGATACGTTTGTACGAGTCAATGTATCTATTCTTCATCATGTTGGCTAGTCCTGGTATTAAAAGCCTAAAAAGGCTAATATGTGGTGGGGCAAAAAAAAATTGTTTAATAATTGAACTTTCATGCGGATCTATATCTATATTCAATTATGCTTATGTACTAGTAATTATTGTTGTAAACACATGTAGTCCACCTATCATGATGGAGATGACCAGTTTGATGCAAGTGGTCCTCAGTGCAAGAAGGAGAGGCGTATCCATCTCTGGGTGAGTCAATGTATATTTTATTCTATGTGTTGGCTAGTCCTGGTAATAAAGGCCTAAATTGTTTTCCAGTCCTGTGAGAAGTACCTCATACTTCGGTAACAGTTTGCATCAAGCCTTACCTTTCCAATGCTTTTTTTAAAACCAATCTTTAAATAATGCTTGTTAACATCAAATCATTAACTGTTGAACCATGATGTTTTGATTTGATTTTTTGATTTATTGAAATTGCAACAGTGCAATACACATGGGGCAAAGGCTGAGCTATTGCTGGTGTCGTGTCCCACACATAGAAACAAATACAGGACAGTGTGCTAAATCATTTGTTCAACCTTTCTGATCACAAACTCACATCAGTTTTGCAGTTTCCAGAGGGAATAAAAATCAGTGTTATAGCAGAGTATTACAATGTAGTACATGTACAAAAAGGCCATGCAGAAGGTCCCTATAGTAGGGATCTCAATCCTACTACATGTATGTGGTGGGAGATACAGAAATGTAGTTTGAGTTTTTTTCCAAGATGATGTTTTCCGACACAGATGAATTCTCATGCTGATCAATACATAAAGTCATTTATGATATGCTGATATTCCTATTGTACCTGAAGTATTTAAATCATTGTAGTCAACACATGTAGTCCACTGTCAGGAAATGGCCAGCCAAGAATGTCACAAACTCATCAGCATACAACAGAACTTATATCTTAGCTACTCCACAAACACCCAGCACCACACACTGCTACCTGACTTAGTCTCTCTTCCTGCCTATCTAGAGTGAAAGTGTTGTCATTGTCACTCACTACGGATTATCCTGTCATGGTGGACTTTTGCAAGATAATGTAATTTGCAAGAGCTGCATTCCAGATGAGCGGGTGAGTCAATGTACTCTACATGTTAGCTAGTCCTGGAAATAAAATCCTCATACTTTGGTCACTGTTTACATCAAACCTTACCTTTCCTATGCCTGTTTTTTTTTAATCAATCATTAAATCATGCTTGTTTGTTAACCTCAAATCACAAATTTATATTTGTTAACTTTATACATGTTGTGTACCATGTTTTGTGTGCTCAGTCATTTGTTCAACCTTCCTGATCACGTAGATTTCATAATCACAGCAACTTTTTTTCACATGCTCACATCAGTTTTGCAGTTTCCAGAGGGAATAAAAATCAGTGTTATAGCAGAGTATTACAAAAAGTCCATGCAGAACCCTATAGTAGGGATCTCAATCCTAATACTATGTGGTGGGCCAAAAAAAATGTAGTTAAACAACATCATTGAACTTAAATCATGATGATCGATATCTATATTCATCTATGCTGATATTCCTATTGTACTTGAATGTATCAATTATACTGTTGTCAACACATGTAGTCCACCTATCATGATGCAGAGGACCAACTAGTACGACTAATACATTATCATCGGTTGATGAGATATACTGGAAATGACGAGTGGGTGAGTCAACGTATTCTACATGTACATGTTGGCTAGTCTTGGTAATAAAGGCCTGTGAAAAGTACCTCATACATTTGTACTTCAGTCACGGTTTGCATCAATCCTAAAAAAATTACCTTTCCTATGCTTGTTTTCATAATCAATCTTTGAATCATGTTTGTTTATCATGTACATTGTACAATGTACATTTTTTGTGTACATGTATGTTCTGTGTCATTTGTTCAACCTTCCTGATTTCATAATTAAGGCAATAACTTTTTCCATGCTCACATCAGTTTTGCAGTGCCAAGGGTATGTCAACCAACTAATCAAATCAGTATGGCCTACTTCTGTCATTGCAGAGTATTACAAAAAGGGTTACCATAATACAGACCCCCATAGACCCCCAATGTAGTTGTTTTTCCATAATGTTAGACATCAGCGATTGGTCAAACATGCCAGGCAATAATGTGATGGCTGGAGTACCAATATATATGGCCTCATTTATAGCTATAGCAAATAGTCCTGCAAAGTGTCCAGTATTCTTTGTCCAATGTATTGCATTCATTACAGGTCTTATGCAGCAAAGATTTTGAACTCTGAAAGGCTAATTCATGCATTTCCTCAATTTCCTAGCATTCACCGCGCTTGCAATTGCAGAGACCCTCCACAAAAGCCTCAATGGACAATCTGGATCCAATGTACAACATTGATCTGTTCCAAGGGCACAGAAGCACCACAAAAGTCTCAATGGACCATCTGGATCCAATGCACAATGTTAACATGCTTACCTTGATTGGAACCATGTACATGTACCAGCACCTTGAGGCCTTGAGGAAAGAACTGGATGCAATACAGCAAACCATAGCCTTGAGAAAAGATCTTGACCCAATATACAAAACCCTTCAAGCCTTGACGAATGATCTGGACCAAATATACCAAATGGTAGAAGCCCTGAGGAATGATCCGGATTCAACAAACCAAAGCTCCCGAACCTTAGAAGCCTTGAGGAATGATCTGGATCCAATAAACCAAATGCTAAAGGCTGTGAGGATGGATCTGGATTCAATATACCTATTTGTTATGATAAAGGCCTTGAGGAAAGAAGTGGATACAATACACCAAACCCTAAAGGCCTTGAGGAAAGAATTGGATTCAATACACCAAACCGTAGAGGCCTTGAGGAAAGAACTGGATCCAATATACCAAATGTGTAAGGCCTTGACGAATGATCTGGATCCAATATACCAAACCCTAAAGGTATTGAGGAAAGAACTGGATCCAATACACCAAACCGTAGAGGCCTTGAGGAAAGAACTGGATCCAATACACCAAACACTAAAGGCATTGAGGATAGAACTGGATCCAATACACCAAACCGTAGAGGCCTTGAGGAAAGATCTGGATCCAATATACCAAACACTAAAGGCATTGAGGATAGAACTGGATCCAATACACCAAACCGTAGAGGCCTTGAGGAAAGAACAGGATCCAATACACCAAACACTAAAGGCATTGAGGAAAGAACTGGATCCAATACACCAAACCGTAGAGGCCTTGAGGAAAGATCTGGATCCAATATACCAAACACTAAAGGCATTGAGGATAGAACTGGATCCAATACACCAAACCGTAGAGGCCTTGAGGAAAGAACTGGATCCAATACACCAAACCGTAGAGGCCTTGAGGAAAGCTCTGGACCCAATATACCAAACAGTAGAGGCCTTGATGAATGATCTGGATTCAACAAAGCAAAGCTACCGAACCTTAGAAGCCTACAGGAATGATCTGGAGCCAACAAACCAAATCCTAAAAGCCTCAAAAAAGGATCTGGATCCAATATACCAGATCCAAGCTGTGAACAACAAGGATACAATACACCACACCATAGAACCCTTAATGGCAGCTGAGGATCCCACACCATACACCCTAGAGGCCTTGAAGAATGACATACATCAAATACAGAACATGACAGCTTTGAAGAAAGATCAGGATACAAATCATACCCCAGACACCATGATGAAAGAACTGAAGGCTCAAATTCACATCTACCTGGAGCAGATCAGAGATGACATGAGGTATCTGTATCTGTATCGGTATAGCCGGTATAACCACCCTTCGGTACATGTAAGCCAAAGGGTTCTTAAAGTCTCTTAATGCACAGCATTTGCAAAGTCTGCTTAATATTTCTACAATGAAACATGTAGAAGAAATTATGGCAATGGAACATGTAGAAGAAAGCAGGCCAATTAACACATACATGTAATTATCAAAATTTATGCAAACTTATAACAACAAATTCAGGCACAGTGGCACAAAAGTATACAATGTACCAGTAAATGTTAAGCTTGCATATTAACAAAGGTTTTAATGGTTACTTTGATAGTGATATCCTGTATTTCTTCACGATTTTCTCCAGTCACCATGCAGTTAGGGACAAAGTTCGTCATACACACAAAGGGCCACACCGTGCTTATGTCACACACACCGATTTACGAGGTTGGAGGTTGGCTGTGGTTGTACAAGGTGCATGTCTCTTCTTTATGATCGCACTCCTGTCTGCATCTCATTGCAAGGTCAGTAAAATTTCATAAGAAGTCACTACCTACATTCTCATGGGATATTCAGTTCCTCTATTGTAAAGACCTACTCCACATCTGAATAAGTAATCTAACTCTACATAATTTCAAGTGTCCTCAGAAAATGTCCTACAGCAATGACTCAAATGTGTCTCAAATTTACAAACCAATTGCATTAAGTAGATAGCCTAATGAAAATATACAGACCAAATATTTCATATTAGATTAAGAAAACTTGAGACATTGAACATTAGATTGATACATGTATCTATTCAATTATGCATATAATCACCATACAGTTGAATGAAAGATATATGCTTCATGTATAGCAAAACAATTTGCTGTGAATCTAATATGTCTTCCTGACAATCTTGTTGAAATAACTTACTTCATTATGAACTCATGAACTATGCATTTTGGGCTGCAGTGATCTATATGAATTCTGTCCCATGAGGTAAAATCATAAAGCATAGTGACTGTGGCAATGACCGTGTTCTCAGCTTGAAAAGTTATAGTTTGAAAGGATATGAAGCAACTTACAAACTTTGTTAAAAATGCTGCAGGTCAGGAAGGGCCAGCCTCATGATAGTAGTCAAGTGTGCAAAGAGAACCCCAGAGTCATCGAAGAGGAAACCCTTGTCAAGGATGCAAGTGTCAAGATGGCGAGCGAAACAGTTGGACCCCAAGACACCTTCGTGAAGGGTAAGAAAACTACATTTGGGAAAATTTTGATGCTCTGTCAATTCAAAAAAGCCAAATCAGGAATAATTAACAGATACAGGAAAGGAAAACCCTATATTGAAACCCAGAACAGACATCCAGCACAGAACTCCAAGGAAGTTAAGTGTTCAATGCTGTAAATTCATCCATAACCTTGGGAAAATACAATGCTCACATTAGTCCCAGCAGGCTGGCACAGAAAATCCTCGGCACTGGAAAATTAAAGGGAGAAAATCTTATCAGAAAATCAAAGGACCTGGCAAGGAGGCATAGTATTACATTTAGCTCATTGCTTTGGTTCCATTTCTTTTTTCAGGAACAGCACTGCTGTTTCAACAAGCAGTCCAAGCTGTGGACTTTGCCAATTATGGGGTGCAATTTGGCCTGTCTGACCACGAAATACACCACATTGTGAACACCGAAGCTGTGACCTTGCAAGAGCAAGCTGCCAAGAAGTACGAAGCTTGGAACAGGGATGGAAAGATGGGGGAAGAAAGCCACCTAAGGGATGACATAGTGGCTGAAAGAATCCAGCAGCTCCCTCGCATGTTGTCCCAATATAAGCGAGAGTAATGTGCCCAGCAGTGGTTCCCTAGCATGACACAGGGATCACCCTATGCAACGTGCCTTACAGAACGTACCTTACAAAAGTGCCTTACAGACCCTATCATGTGGCCTATGTAACATGTCTTACATAAGTGTCTCAAATGGCACATTATTTTAGAAAACAGTAAGCATCATTATGATTGAGTTGCATCTAACTTTTGAAGAATACAATTTGCATAAGCTAGAGATTGTGGTGATGTGACAGTGTGCAGTGATTGTGCATTTGTAGGACTGCATGTGTAGAATTGTTTGAGATTATATTAGCTCCATAAAATGAAGTCTGTAAGATACTAGTAACATTGATAGACTTAAGTAAGAATGAGGTAAAATTGCAACCGTAACACAATGTAATTTTGTACAAGATGGCATAGGATATTGTACCTAAATAAAGGCAGGATTTACATTTCAGTCTAGGGCTGCATAGTTGTAACATTTTCAGGAACAGGTACAGCAGTGCCAGACCAGTAAGGAACAGGTACAGCAGTGCCAGACCTGAAAGTTTAATTTGGCCAATTACAGCATGTATTTACATGTTATACTTACATGAATTATAACCAAAACGTATTTTTAGTGAATTGTAAATTGATGTTCTTGGATTCTAATTTTCATTATTCTAATCAAGAGTACTAACAAGTTTCTAAAGTTTCTAGTATGAAATTGTTGTCCTAATAAGAGTGAGACAGGATTTTTTAGCCTTCTACCTGCTTGGAAGATGTTACTAATTTGTGTGGTTAGGTATGCTGTGATAAGTGCTACATCCTGTATCACCAAACATGTTTACAATAAAATTGCTGGGACTTCTCTTGAATTTCTCTTGTGAATTTTCCTGATGGTGAACCACTGTGTCTTTTAAAAAAACTAATATGTATTGTCACATATTCAATGTACACTTTACCATCCGGTACACATTTTGCTAAAATGAGTCAAACAGATAACATGCAGTTTTTATAATTTCTTTATTAGACTTCAACGCTAGATATTACATACAATACATGAAATGTAAATATTGTTTTGTATACATCTAATTTTTTAAATGCTACAAAGTGCTCTTTTAAAGCATTATCATCTAATTGTTAACAATACTTTTATACGTTTAAGAATGCCAGGAACGCTGTAATCTTATTGAAGCATAAGAAATATTTAGTTCAATTTTTGGCAGTACATACTGTACAGGATTCATTTGTTATTAAAATAGCGACATTGGCATATTTACGGTAAATTCACTGGGTACAGTGACCAAACTGTATCCGACTACAAATTCCATCTAGTAAAATGGCTATTGGTGCTGTCAAGTCTGCAATGTACAAGAAATCCAAGTCCAAGAATTCAGCAAAACTTGCCAGTTAATTCTAAATTGTATCTTGTCCTCAATTTTTACACAGCACAAAGCACAATAGAACCTGGATACTCCATTCCCTGTAGTACACACACACATTATATGCATTTTTAATATTCCCATTAAAACATAAAAGTGGCTTAAGTACCTTCTGCTCTGGTATATTATTGGTAATACCCAGGTCTGGTCTGCTGTAGGTAGGTACCGTGGGGAGGGGGGTGTCTGGTCCCACCTGACTGGAAGGCAGTCTGTGGAGGGAACATTAAGACTGTTAAAAACCATGAACTGTTTCTTCTTAGGTATCAAACAGGTCATACTGGGATGTAAATTTTAGTCATTTCAAATTTGTACGGACAAAGTATTCGAAAAATATTTTCAGCGAAATACTTTGTTTAGGCATAAAATTTATGACATAACATTCTAACGTGGGGATATATGCTCATTCAATTGATGTACATCAAGCAACAAGCTGAAATAAACAACTCACGGCATGCTGGTAGGCTGCAGGTGATCCAGGTCTGGTCTGTGGTCTGGGTGGGTAGGCTGAAGAAACCATACTTGCCTGTGGATAAAGGAACAACTGTTAACAGCTATACACATACTATTTGCTGCATTTTGAGGGGAAAAGTTCGCTGGTAGACAGCTTATTTTCATGACATCTCTTTCCCAATCTTTACACACTGATTTTTGTCCATCAAAGATGACAGGGCAAAATTCTTGTCTGTTACGAGTGGCAAAATTGCCTTAACTGATGGAAAAACAGACAGTGTCTAGAAGACTGGTATGACCCCTGACCTTGTGCTGTGGTGGCACATGTAGCTGCTGCTGCTGTGGGTGTGGCATCAGGGCCTGCTGGGACTGCTGCGGGTGGACAGCCTGGGGAGGGGCCATGCCGCGCAGGTGGGTCTGAAATGGGACAACATTTTCATCATCTTACAATAAGCCAGAACAATTACACACACACATGCATTTCTTGTCAGGTTCTAAACATGAAATAGAAATTTTCTTCCTTTCAACATCTGAAATTCAAAGCTCTAACTCTGGTAACAAGTTGCTGTCAAACTGAAAAGTAGCTGTGAACCATTCCAACCTAAATATGTAAACATTTCATATGTTTTTCCTGCAATATTGAACATTAACTGTACATGTGTATTTGGTTCTTCAGAGGATGTCAAGTTGTAAATACCATCACCAAAAAAGTCTGGGATAGAGTATATGAGTACTTGAATTTTGATATGTTGATGAAGGTTAGATACATGTAGGGTAATGAGATAAACAAAGAAGTTGTTACTCAAGCAACTGGATAGACTTTAAAAAATTATGTGCTAAATATGCAAGTCCTTCACAACTAACAGCCATGTTTAAGAGGATGTTACCAATACTAGTGCTTGGATTGTGCTTCCAAAACTTACCTGTTGTTCAGCATATGCAGCCTGCTGACTGGGTGTCCCATGCTGGGGAGGCATGTAACCTAGAACGGCAGAGGACACCGTGGTTGCTAGGAGGTAAGCCTTCACGTCCCCTACAGTAGTGGAGAAACCATAGCCATTCACGTTAAACACAACCTCCACCGCAGGGGGTTAAAAGAAACACAAACAAACACAAAACAAAACAAACAAGTCTATTAGTTCAACCATGAATGAAAAATCTGTAATAGTGAAGAAATCAGAGCCATTCAAACCAAAGTTACCAAACACAATGTCCACCCCACGGGTTAAGGGAAAAACAAAAACAAAACATACAAAATCCATTAGTTCAACCATGGATTGAAAATACATGTAGTGGAGAAATGATAGCTATCCAAATTAGATTCAACCACAAAAGTTTGACATAAAAGAAATAAACAAACACAATTAGTTTGATGATTAATTGAAAACATTAGATTTTTAGAAAAATGGTTCCACAGACATGACCAACTGAAACCACCTCACAAAAAACCTTCTAACAAAACAGAACATTAAAGGACTTCTAAGAAGGGAAATCAGAATGTCAAACTTCTTGAATACGTTAGTTCAATGTTAGGCTTTTGAAAACTGAATGTTCCAAGACTCCAAGAATTAATAGACGTGTTAAATTCTGACAATTTTCTGTCTTACCACGTCAGTGTTTATGTGTTCATTTCTTTGAGGGAAGTTCGCAACAATGATTTTCTGACAGTTTAATGACCTGCTGACCAAGGCTGATGAAAAGCATTATAACAACATCGTGCCTGCTTTACACAAGACAAATTATATATAACATAGGACATTCCCACAACACTCTGAAATAAGTGACATAAACATGTACATGTATTTGCAAGCATGCTTATATACTAGGAACATTGCCCATTGATACAGTATGTACAGAATAGGTATCATTCTTACCAGGTTGTTGTACTCTATAAGCCTGCCCATACTGTTCAGGCTTGTGCTGTGCGTACTGATACGTGTATGCTGCTTGACCATGGGCATATTTCGTGGCAGCCTGGGTGACAGCATACGCCCCTGTAGCCGCCTGGCTCGTCGCATACTGGCTGTGCTGGGCCTGACTGACTTGGTACGCCGTCTGTGATTGGCTGGTGGCATAGGCAGCAGCCTGCTGTGATTGGCTGGCAGCATAAGCAGGCTGTCCTGATTGGCTGGAGGAGTAGTGGCTTGGTTGGCTGACAGGGTAGGAGTGATGTGATTGGTCGTGGGCGTAGGTAGCGTGATGCTTGACTCCGTAAGGGTGCTGACTGTGGGGGGAGGGGCGGGGAGGGTAGACCTGCACCACGGGAGGGGAGGGGCTTCGCGGTCGCTTCAGTGCACCACCCTGTCAGGAGAGAAGAAAACTACAGAACAACGAACTCAGATCTGCACATCTGCAATCACAAAGCCAGGGCACGTATGGTAGAAATGATGTTCAAGGATAAAACCTGCATACACTTGAGTTGTAATGCTAATGTTAATTTGGACATATTCTCCCCATCACATTTAGAGTTAGTACACAACTAAAATCAATGTACATAATCCTTCCGTTCAAATATCTACCAATCAAAATGACAAACAAGATAAGCAGCCCTGACAATGCCTTGACTACAGCAACAATCTGGAGAAAAATTGTCTGAAAAGTTGACCGATACAACTGTGATGAAATTACCTAAAAGTCTAAGGTAAGGTCAAGAAGATAACTGTACTGTATAGTTTCATCACAGTACTAGGCATTGGAACAACTGAGACACATACATGAGAAGCAGTAGGAGGTGTGTGGGTCTGGTAAATGGCTCCCTTGGCATGTTCCACTGGCAGGGTTCTAGCCTGGACAGGAACACCTGGGGGAAAAGGCAACACAAGTTTTAAGACATCAAACTCCATTCCTACAGAAGCAATGGCCTTAACAGAGTTATCATTCATCAACATAAACACAAAACCAAAGGAAATACAAAATTACACAAGACTTAAGTTCATAATGCTAAAAAGTACTAGTTTGTGGAATACCAATATTTCCATGAACTGAATGGTCTGGACCCCAGGGCAATGACAGATTCCCAGACTGATGTAATTAAATAGTTACAGTGTTGTGTACAAGAATGATACTGACCAGGCATCACCATATGTGCGCCTGCTAGATGCATTCCTGACTGGTAGATGTGGTGACCCATGGCAGCCATGTCACTGGAAGTGCAAAGACATATTCATGGGAAGGCAGTTAGAATCATAACATCATCATGGCTACTCTCTACTGCACATAAGTACAAATGTACTATGTTGGAAGCATCAGACTTGCAAGTAGCTGATTCCAAACCTAAAGAAACATGTTAGCAGGCACTCAGTGGACTGTGAGAGATACAATACAACAAAGAGCACATATTTGCAGTGAAAAAAAGACATTGTGAAAAACAGTGCAAGGAACCTAAAATCTTAAGTAGATGTCATGGTCCTGTCATGTACCTTTGTTCCCTCATTCTGGCCTTTCGTTTGTCTTCCTCATTTAGAACCCTCTTCAGCTGGAGGAACAGCTGATGTTTCTCCTCCTGGAGGGTGTCTAACTTCTTCTGCAGCTTTGCAATCTGAGGGTACAATGATGAACAATATTATCGCAGAGCCATCTTCAACTTAAGATTGAGTTCAACTGGATGATACACAAAAGCATCCATCAAATCATTTTTTCAGTGTTGAACATCAAGCTGTTGATATCTTATAGATCATTCATACAATAAAAATTTAATTTTAAGAAGCTAAATTCACAATCTTCAGCTAGACTACATGATGCAACCTGAACGACATCACCAAAGTTCTAAGTTGTATCTAGTGACAACCCTCTACTAGGTAGTAGGGATCTCCTCACTTTTTGTGTAACGTTATATATACTTGTGTTGTGAAGACCATCTGACTGTGAAGACCATCTACTGCTCACATACAGCAGCACACCCAAATACTGCACACTACATGTCCAGTATATGGCTGGAAGGAGGTTAATACTGTATCGAGTTGTACCCACCTCCTCTTTAGTCTGTTCCAGAGTCATGGACTCCTGCTGCTGCTGCTGTCTCCTCCTGTCCTCCTCACGTTTCCTCTCCAGAGCCTTGTCAGCTTCCTGCTCTTCTGCTTCGGGCAATCAAGGAAATCTTTCATGTCAACTTTTCTTGTTTTTAGAAATCTTGAATACTGGCAACGCATGAAAAGTTTACTGTTATACAGATTGCCTTTGAACAGAGCTAGAACTAGAAGGCAAGAGTAGAATGAAAGTAACAGATGACCCTGCAATACAAGAGGGAAAGGGAAGAAAAATGTGTTTCTTTGCCAACAAAAGTGAAATACAGTCTGTACTTCTAAATGATTAAATTCTGTATACTGTCACATGGATGACCAAAATAAGTCAAAAACAAGACCAAAACACCTTCAATAAGACTGTATATTAATACTACTACTAGGCCAACGCATTGTTAGTTTACTGCAGGACTGCTGGCTTACCTTGTCTCTTCTTCTCTCGTTCCTTCATGATGTGAGTCTTGAGTGCAGCCAACATGGGCTGACTCAGTTTGGGACGTTCCAGTAAGGCTGGCATCTCTGACCTTACTTCTCACACAAACCAACTGACAACAGAAACTGATGAAGTAGTGTGTTTGGGTGGGTGTGAGCCTGTACTGTTCCTTGTTCACCTGAAAGATAAAATTATGACAGCTGATGAAGATACTAAGTAAAAGAGAGAGAGAGATACACAAATTATCATCATGAATGAACTGAACCATTTCCAGCTTAAGTTAAACCTCTCTCTTCTCCTGTACTATTCAGGTACGTAGTTGTACTATTTGCCAGTTCCTTAAGTTCCATAACAAACCCCTGTTTTTGATATCATCTTTCAAAGATGATCCCTTGGCTTGTGTTATTTAGAAGTCATGCATGACAGATGAAGGATGTAGGTGGGGAGGGGGGCATGGGAGCGGTCATCAACGTTAGAACCGCTCGAAAATCATACACTTTTAACATTTAAGAGCAATGAAAAGGTTAAAAATTGCACAGAGATGCGAATAAGGTCTAATTTTCTCTCGTTACTTACAAGTCTCCTCTTGAATTTCTTGTAGACGTACAAAAATGTAGGATTTCTAATTTTTTTCCAAATATGTGATCTCAGACGGCCATGTTTACTATCCCAGGATACATTTCGGTGTCCTTGGACCACGTTCGTAAAATTTTCGGTAATGTCCGGAGCTTCGAAATAATCATCATAAAGAAAATCATATGACTTGTGAAAAAATTAAACCATCAATTTATTAAATTGTAAGAAAATTTTGTCCAAATGTCATACATTATCTATTTTTAGTGGAATTTTATATTCTCGGCCACCTTCGACATCCCTTCGGTAGTTTCCGGTCACAAGATTACCCCCCGCGAAGCCACGTTCGGTCTCTCTCCCACTGCCCATCATGGCGCCCGTAAGTGAATTTTTTTACTCAGCCAAAAAACCGGAACATTTTGTCATTTTATCCAACTAAATAAAGCTATATGAAAGCCAAATTGCGTCTGATATGACAGTTAACTTATATACGGTAGATTTGAGTGGATTGACTTGCGGAAAAGCAAGAATTTTAGATAGATTTTCAACATTTTTACCTCCAATTTTTTTTTCGAGCATGTGGCGTGCCAAGGCTTGACCAACTTCCACCCCATACTAGCCCTTAAGTTTACCAATATGTCACATTTCAGACCTGTGTGATCTCATAACCTACTTAGAAATGTTTGATTCCCTTATTCTTGTCAACATTTTACACTTAATTCCACATGCATTGTCATTTTTTGAAGACAATTGCGTAATTTTCCTTCACCCCCCTCCCCCATAGCTCCTAACCTTTGTACAACACACAGGACTAAAACCTCACCGGAATGTCTAAATTAAGACGTCTTTAGGCATTTAAATCATGGGAGAAGGGCAAATTTATTACTGTAAGATGAAGCAGACCACTTAAAGAAAGACGGATATAAAGCCTTAGAACAGCCCTAAAACACTAAGCCTGACCTTACATCTGCTTGGAAATAAGAAAATGTACATGAGTACCTTTTTGTCATAACAGTACAAACTAGCATTGACATCTCTTGCTGCACCCTCTGTAGGCTAAAGCAAAGACGGTGGCAGCCAAAGCAGGAAGCAAAGGCAAGAAGAAGAAGATGTTGCTGAAGTTCACGATCGACTGCACACATCCTGTGGAGGATGGCATCATGGATGCATCCAACTTTGTAAGACTTTTTTTGTAACTTCTTAAATGTTAATCTAGAATTAAGAGACTGTTGCAGCCCTTACAGAAAAGAAAAATTCTTACAAACATAGTGAAAGTAGTACATTGCTTTGTACATCAATTCATTTGATTCAATTGACTTAAGAAATTACCAATTGCAGAAGTATTGTCATATTGCTTAAGCAATGTCTAGATCATAACATTGTATGAGCATTTGACTTTTGAGAATAATGTTGTTGTATACGTACAAGTTTATCTAGAAATTTTCATGTACTAACTATGATCCTTCTTGATTAGGGTTCCCTTCCCTAGTCAGGATTAGGGTCCCCTTCCCTAATCCATGGGATTAGGGCCACCTTCCCTAATCCTTACCCACTATGTCCCGCTTCCTTCCCATGGTGCAACAGGAGACGTTCCTGCACGATCGCATCAAGGTCCAGGGGAAGACAGGCAACCTGGGAACTCAGGTCTCCATCGAACGCAACAAGAGCAAGATCTCCGTTCAGTCCGAAATCCCCTTCTCTAAAAGGTGTGTTTGCGTTTCCCTGTAGTATACTGTGTCAAGGAAAAGCTTTTCAAAGACTTCAAGGAATCCTAGTGACAGTACCATGCCTTCTTGGTGCATGATAATGGTTTTAATGATGTTTTGTTGCCTGACTGTACTTCTATCATATGCCCAGACGTGACCTGGTGATCATGTTATGCAGACCTTTGGCAACTCTGATACATCAACATAACGCATGGCCCTAGAGTCTTTTCTTCATTTCAATCCATATTGTGTTTTGCAATACAGAAGTTGTTTTAAGTACACATAGATGTACGTACATAGTGGGGAAGTAAAGCGGGCTGCTATCAAGCCTTAGCACAAGTGTGCAGACAATAAAATGGATAGTGAGTGAAGCCAGTTTTAAGACGTTAACCTTCTCTTGTGTACTACAGGTACCTGAAGTACTTGACAAAGAAGTACCTGAAGAAGAACAACCTGAGGGACTGGTTGAGGGTGGTGGCGAGTACCAAGGAGCAGTACGAGCTGCGGTACTTCCAGATCAACCAGGATGAGGAGGAGGAGGAAGATGAGGATTAAGTCAGACCTCACCTCTGTGCAATGGGCAGACCTGTCTTTACACATCAAATATGCCATTGCTGATACAATGTACATCCTCTGAGAGATATTAAATGTGTCTCCATAAACTTGTGATGCTTCTTGTGCTTTTTGTGTATATTTGTAACTCCTTGGGGCTGTGTCAACATAAAAGGGAATAGATATGGTTTTTCTTTCACTACTATTGAATGGGGGCTCATGTATATGATTGCGCTATGATACTACTGTAATACACTGCAGAAGAAATAACATGCTTAATATTAAGTTAAATGCAACAAAGTGAAAATTGGTTTTGAGAATAACTTGAAACATGCATTAGGTTATGGCAATATGAAGAGCTGCTATACAAAGGTCAACGTATAACGTTCCTTGCTCAATACACTTATAAAACATAGACTTTGAATTCTAGTTCAAACTACATAAAATATTTGGTATGCAATTGACTTCTTAAATAACATCAGCAAATGTGCCAACATCTGGTACATATAAGTACACACTTAAGTGGAACTTGAGGAGGAGCATGTCTTTCAGGTGTATCACTTTATTGTATTCATCCATGCAGTTGACAAACATTTATTCTAAGGAACCATGTACCCTGTTATGAAAGACATCCAGGCAAAACAAGGTACGCAACCGGATAATTGTTTTGAGGAGTCAGACGTTTCAGATACTTCTGTAGCATCTTTCATCATATCAGTGAAAATAACCTGTATGCTACCTGAAACGCCTGAGTTGTCGGACAATTTATCAAGCTGCTTGGTCCATTTTGCATTGCTAGTACGTATATATCTGTATACATACAGTGGTCTCGTGATTCACAAGCACACAAACTCTTCTATGTATATATAGACTTCAAAGTATCCTCAATTTACCTTTTCACTTTTGTAAACTTTGTAGGCCCCTCATAGAGCAGTGGCAAACAGTAACACTAGTTTTAAGACCTGCATTATGGTGCAGTATTGCTTCAAAGCAACACATCGCAGTACATGTATTTGGTTATAACCACATTAACACCACTTGAACCTAGCCAGCATAAGCTGCACGCCCTTGTGGCCGTTTATATTGCACAAGTATATCAGGTAGGAGTTTGATTCTGTCAGCAACAATATCATCCCTTAAGTCATCTCTACTCTGTGGACTCTTGCTTGAGTTCCAGTCATGGTACTTCAACTTGGCTTCTCCCCTCAGCTGCTCAGCTTCGTTGTTGATGATCTCTTGTATCTGGTAGTCATCCAGACCTACTCTTCTGCCCACTCTTGCAAAGTCCACTTCTCTCACTGCTTCCTGGTACAGCGATGCGACATCTGTAGTAAAATTGTGATGTGATAAAGAGTGGTGAATTTGCTGAAAAGTGACTACTGTATGTACAGTCTCAGATATTGTTAATTTTATAGTGCCATAAAGGAAGATAAATGAACATAACTACATTCTCACTGTAATATGTAAACATTCACAAAGGAACGTACCTCTTAGGAAGTCATTTGTGCCCGTTTGATCTTCAATTATTGGTTCCTTACCCTCCACTAGAGGGGTATTTTCTTTCCGAGAGGACCCTTCCAGTTTCCAGGTAGTGAGTGACTTCACATTCAATGTCGGCAAGACCAGTAGCACTGCCAGACACATTATGAAGCCCATGCACTGGTAGATGAAGGTTCTGTGAAGAAAAGCATGTTGAGAAATATATATTCTTAGCCAGCTGAACTGTTAAATTATTTATATTTAAAAGATTGTACAATAGCCTCCTTCGCAGACTTGTGAGGTGGCGGCATTAATTTTTTCCGGAGAGCGACGCGAGTTATGCCACGAAGGGACGGTTTTGCCGCCGAGGG